TTCATGTGGATGTGTTTAGGTCATAAAACATACATATTTTGACTTTCTATCCATTTAGTTCATGCGTGTCTTGAGCTCTCTTCATATATAAATAAACAGTTTGGAAAAAAAAACAGAAAAAATATTAAATCGATTTGTTCACCAGAGGCATATGCTCATGAGGAATTCGTTACAAAATTGCAGCTATCGAGATTAGATCGAATTGCTGTTGTTTTCTGAAAAACAAAATAAGAAGGTTCAATGAGACTAGAAATGAAGTCTGCGTTTCGAAAGGAAATACGATAGAGATAACACCTAAACCCCAACGTCCATTTCAAATTCGTTACATATTTTCATTTGGATATATTTCTATTCAAATGGAACAAATACAAAAAAAAATATTTAGCGTATTTGTCTTCCTTGGTTGGGCCTTGAAACACACAAAACATGTTTGTTATGAAATCTCGCCGTATTAAAAGTTTTGAATCTTTCCATCCGTCACAGCTCTTGTGTTCAATTCGTTACATAACTTCATGTGGTCGTGTTTAGAAATTCAAATTCACTGTATTAATGTTTGTTTGATGCTCTATTCATTCATGTAAAAATATTAGATAAAAAGACAAAAAATTAAATAATCGGATTTTTTTCCAAAAAGCATATATCCATGAGGAATTGATCAGGGTAAGACAAAAAAGTAGGTTTCTTCCGAAAGGATTTCATAAAGAGGCTCAGTAGAGATATTAAATGTTTCCGAATGAAGACATTAGTTGACACCTAACCCCAAGCTTTGTTTCAATTTCGTTACATAACATCATTGGCTTATATCTTTGTTCCTATTCAGTAAATCTTTAAGCTTTTAATGTATTTGCAAACCTTGTTGATATCTTTAAACATATAAATCACGTTTGCAACACGATCCCATTGGGTTTCAATTTTTGAATGTTTAATCCGTTGCGAGCCACCCTTACAATTCGTTATATAAATGCAAAATCTTGCGGTTAGAATATAACCGTTCATAATCGGACCTATTCATTGTATTTTGCAGTAACTCTTATTGTAGGCAACGTATTATTTTGCAACATATTCTAGCCCTAACATTAGAACAATACTTATTATAATAAGTATAACAATTTTGGTGAATTTTGAAATCATTCTGTGGGTTTTTTAGATTTACATTCATCCTCAAAGAAACACACACACTATATTTTAAAAATAGATATCTATACTTAGTTCTCTTTATATCAACAGACTGGAAAAAAAACATCTAGGATATATTTCGCGTAGCTTGCTGCGGAGGAAAAGAAGTCTTATTATGCAGGATAATAACGTTACAATTGGAAGTGTAAGAGATAATGCATTTTCACCACCTTATATGCTATATAGTTTAGTCGTTGTCATACAGTTTTTGATATGTTTTATACCTTGTTTCTATGTCAATTTTCAAACAGTTTTATAATGTAGTTTTTTTCACGTTTTTAAGACAGTAATATATATTTGAACGTTTTAATACCTTGTTTTGATATGTTTTAGAAAATAATACTGGAAATAAAGAAAACATTATACAAGAGAACAAAACGTTGTCTCCTATGTTATGATATGATAACACAACATGAAAATGATTCGAATTAATTAAGGCCATATTTAGCTGAAATAAAGCAACTGAAAACGTTTTAACCAGATTATCCAGTAGAGTTTGATTTGTAAATACAGTCAAACCTTTATATAAAGGACACTGAAGGGGAAAGGCAAACTTGTCCTTTATAGACAGGTGTCCTTTATATAGAGGTCATCAACGTTTCTTATGTGCTGTGTAACTCGGTCTAGATATATCACTATTAATATAAGCTATACCTTTTGAATAAACACAGTTTATACAAATGTTCAATCAGAAATAAATTAAGAGATTTCCATCGATTATGACTGAATAAATTGTGGAGTAGTTTATAATAAGTTATTAAATCAGAGTTGTATATTTTTGTATTGCTATTAAAGTACAGTACGTTCTCCTTGATATTACTATAAGCTTTAGATGACTAGAGTAGCTAAAGAAAACTTTATTCTAATATATTCAAACAAATAAGCAAAGGTATTTAGCGAAAATTGCTAATCCTTTCCACATTCACTGTTGTTGATAAGTTTGTATTCGTGGCATTTATGTCATTTCAAAAGGCTTTATACTTTTTACACTCTACTTTAAACTGTATTTGCCCGTATTATGCTTTGTTTTTACATTTTAAAACCAGTACATAAAATAAAGCGAACATTTATTAGAAAACAAAGCATTGTCTTGTTATAATTTAATAATGCAATCTGAAAAGCGGAAAAGGTAAAGAAATTAAGGTTATGGTTAGTTGAAACAGAGATGTATATATCATAGTGTTATATATATCTCTGGTTGAAATAAATATAATATAATATATAATTCATATCCTTAGAGAAACATTTGTGCCTCTCCCATAGCCAAATCCTTGATTAAAATAAAGAAAATGAAATATTTTACTTGAAAGAAAAGCATTGCCTTCTTTGTTAATAGGTTAATGATACTAAATAATAGAAAAATAATAGGTAAAAGTTACAGAAGTTTATATTACATTTTGCTTTAAACAATTGCCCGTCTCGTTAAGTCAAATGTTTGATTTGAAACTAGGCCAATTCGTGTTCTTTCGATTGATGTATAGAACATTAAGATATGTTAACGTTTACTATATAAAACTAGCTTTTTCTAGAGGTATGTTTTGTGCAATTATGTAACGAATTTAGTCCAAAATTGTCAAACTTTCAAACTCGATTATTTCATGGAATTAAGTCCAGAAAAATCATCTAGGTGTTGCAAAAAATTGAAGAACCAACTTTAAAACCTGAAACAATAGAAATTTTGAAAATATCTTTTTAAATGGATTTTTTTTAAAACAAAACACGCAAAATGGGAATTCAGGATCAGGCGGTTGATCCATTGTATATACCCGACCACTCAATTTTTTTCACCACAATTTTCTGCTCGGAAGAAGATGTAGGGGATTAGAGCAGTCCTTGAAATATGTCAGGGGGTAAGCCTAACACTCTAAAACTAATTTTATTTTTTTCTAACCCCCTTCAAATAAAGAAGTTGCAATTTTGTAACGAAAGTGACACTTTTTCAAATAATTTTTTATGGTGTCAACTGTTTATTTCGGAAGAAATGTCACCGATCTGGTCACCAAGGTCCACTGCAATACCAAATTAAGTCTCAACATCATCCCAAGAACGTTTCATTCTTACCTCCCTGTCAGGTTAAACAGTACCACAATACACAACGCTATACAGACAGCATGCCTGTGTCTTACCTCCCTGTCAGGTTAAACAGTACCAAAATACACCACGCTATACAGACAGCATGGCTGTGTCTTACCTCCCTGTCAGGTTAAACAGTACCACAACACACCACACTATACAGACAGCATGGCTGTGTCTTACCTCCCTGTCAGGTTAAACAGTACCACAATACACCACGCTATACAGACAGCATGGCTGTGTCTTACCTCCCTGTCAGGTTAAACAGTACCACAATACACCACGCTATACAGACAGCATGGCTGTGTCTTACCTCCCCGTCAGGTTAAACAGTACCACAATACACCACGCTATACCGACAGCATGGCTGTGTCTTACCTCCCTGTCAGGTTTAACAGTACCACAATACACCACGCTATACAGACAGCATGGCTGTGTCTTACCTCCCCGTCAGGTTAAACAGTACCACAATACACCACGCTATACCGACAGCATGGCTGTGTCTTACCTCCCCGTCAGGTTTAACAGTACCACAATACACCACACTATACAGACAGCATGGCTGTGTCCTACCTCCCCGTCAGGTTTAACAGTACAACAATTCACCACACTATAAAGACATCATGGCTGTGTCCTACCTCCCTGTCAGGTTTAACAGTACAACAATTCACCACACTATAAAGACATCATGGCTGTGTCCTACCTCCCTGTCAGGTTTAACAGTACAACAATACACCACACTATACAGACGGTATGGCTGTGGATTACCTACCTCTCATTTGTACCTGTCAGGTTTAACAGTACCACAATACACCACACAATACAGACAGTATGGCTGTGTCTTACCTACCTCTCATTTGTACCTGTCAGGTTTAACAGTTCCACAATACACCACACTATACAGACAGCATGGCTGTGTCCTATCGCCTTGTCATTTTGTACCTGTCAGGTTTAACAGTACAACAATACACCACACTATACAGACAGTATGGCTGTGTCTTACCTCCCTGTCATGGTTTAACAGTACAACAATACACCACACTATACAGACAGCATGGTTGTGGATTACCTCCCTGTCATTTTGTACCTGTCCGGTTTAACAGTACAACAATACACCACACTATACAGACAGTATGGCTGTGTCTTACCTACCTCTCATTTGTACCTGTCAGGTACAACAGTACTATAATACACCACACAATACAGACAGTATGGCTGTGTCTTACCTACCTCTCATTTGTACCTGTCAGGTTTAACAGTACAACAATACACCACACAATACCGACAGTATGGCTGTGTCTTACCTCCCTCTCATTTGTACCGGTCAGGTTAAACAGCAGTGCAAAACAGTTCCCACACTATACAGACATCATGGCGGTGTCTTACCTACCTCTCATTTGTACCTGTCAGGTACAACAGTACTATAATACACCACACAATACAGACAGTATGGCTGTGTCTTACCTCCCTGTCATTTTGTACCTGTCAGGTTTAACAGTACAACAATACACCACACTATACAGACAGCATGGTTGTGGATTACCTCCCTGTCATTTTGTACCTGTCAGGTTTAACAGTACAACAATACACCACACTATACAGACAGCATGGTTGTGGATTACCTCCCTGTCATTTTGTACCTGTCAGGTTTAACAGTACAACAATACAACACACTATACAGACAGTATGGCTGTGTCTTATTTCCAGTCATTTTGCAATGATACTTCTGGAAAAATGAAACCAAAAATATATCAAAAGGTGATAAAGTTTATTTGAACATCAGAAACACAAGACAAGTATTTTAACGATAAAGAAAACAGGTATTGGAAATCATATAAAAAAGTATATAAACTGTTGCGATTCTAACACAAATAAATTGTAACTTAAACATAAAGAGAAGTTTTTAACACTATCAGTGTAAGGTATATACTACAGATTATATCTATTTTGGTCTGATGTTAAGTTATAATAGGTGGAAAGATATATAATACTGAGCCAATATGTAATTCGTGTCTACTTATAACAAAATTATCTTTATATAAGTACTACATTGGTGACTGTAAACAAGTAAAGTTAAAAATAACATGTGATATACATACCATTACATGATTCTGAGAATCACTTTCTGATTCGTAAGCTCACTATTTTTCTTGTGTCACAAAATCATAAAATATTTGGTCTTTTTTGCAAATAAAATTATACAAAACCATATTTTTTTTCATCAGAACCCGTGATACATGTAAAACTTTTTTTTTGTGTTGTGATTTTAAGTAGTAAATTATTGTTTAAGGTATGAAAAACTGTATGGGCAACAGGAACACACACTTAGGTTTGTTGTAGTACTGTATGTGCAGCACTTTTCATGATGTAAATATGAATGTTGAAAAGAATGATAAAAATTGAAACAAATAGTCCTAATCAACAGTTACCAGTACGCTGTGTCCTAAACAGCACAATTAAAACTCTCCATACAGAACTCTAGTGATATGATCTAATCAACAGTTACCAGTCCGCTGTGTCCTAAACAGCACAACTAAAACTCTCCATACAGAACTCTAGTGATATGATCTAATCAACAGTTACCAGTACGCTGTGTCCTAAACAGCACAATTAAAACTCTCCATACAGAACTCTAGTGATATTATCTAATCAACAGTTGACTTGTTAAGTATTTCGATATTTATCTCTCAGTAAATGTTACAGTTTAGTCAATCTCATCGTCCAAGCAAGTCAGATGAAATGGAGGAGCAGTGCATGTACAAACATGTGAGATAAGTTTGAGAAAAAAAAATCTGTGGTGCTGTATATAACTTATATTCAAAACCGTTGGAAAATTTCAGAGCATTACACCATCATTTTATTGTGTCTATAATTTATTGACTCAAATAAATGATTTAACAGGATCCACGTCTACAACTGAATACGAATATAAAATATCTTCGTATGTACGTAAACTTATGTCTATTACAGCAGTTTTACCTCCAACTTTCACTGACAGATAATTCACACCTGAATGTAGATGTTCTGATGTACTTAAGCTCACTTGTCTTATCTTTAACTTCCATCCACAGATCTAAGACCTATTGTTTAATCAGACAGTACTGACACATTTAACATATGATACCATCGAAAATAGATAATCATCACTGAAATCAACAATATACAATTTGACTTTTGATATAAATTTCACAGCAAAAAACAAAACAATAATTTAAACAAAGGTGAAAACCCTGTAAGACAGTATTATTAAGAATGGAAAAGTATTTCTGTCAAAGGTACAAAATTTGAAAAAATATTAAAGTACAGTGTAAATGAGATTTGTACAGATCCTTCTGGCAACATTTGTTTACAATATTAATACAAAGTAATACAACACAAACATACAAGTTGATCAATCATTAAAATCTAAGTTTCTAAAAACACTAAACACTCACCTACATGTCATCAATCCACTGTAGAAATCCATTAAAACTATACAAAGGTTTACTTCTCTCTTTCTATTTTTCTCTGATTTGACTGATCACATACATAGTAACTGCTAAAAGCAAAAAGTAACCTCAAGCTCTTTACAACATAAAAATGCTCTTTGATGAAATGCAATTTACCCCAGCTTACAAAACAGAAAAAAAAGCTTTTTAGATATCTCCTTTTGAGTTAGAGAAACTCATCCCTGTTAAAACACAAACTTGCTTTTAGTTACCTCACTTTCAGGTAAAACAGTTTACCCCTACTTACTAAATACTAAAACTTTTAGTTATCTCCCTTAGGGGTAAAGAAATAGACCTTTGCTTTAATAACACTTAAATATTTAGTTACCTCCCTTGGAGGTTAAGCAATTAAGTTTGATTACAAAACAAAAACACTTTTAGTTATCTCCCTTTCAAAAAAGCTATTTAACTCTGATTATATCACAAAAACAGTTTTTATCATCTCTAAGTGAGGTTTATCTGCCTGTACAATAGAATGGCAAATTATGATAAATTGATGCTGTACTATCTCAACAAGAAGTGGGATACACCCTTAAATAGCTAAAAAAACAAATTTCTAATGTAACTTGCAACACATTTGCACAATTCTGTCCTGGATCATTCTTACATTTAACATACTTCAAACACAATAGGGATGAAATCTGACATTAAGGCTGGGCACATCAGCAAGAAGACAAAAAAGGGGTATGTAGGTAACAACATGTATTTAGCATCACACAGATATTGCAACAGTTCTACTTACTGGAGGGATTAGACAAATATCATGTATCACTTAAAACAACACAATGGAATTGTAATAAAAATGGCATTTCAAATTGGAGACAAATTTGTTGAAAATATCACCATTTGATCAATAGATAATAATGTTTTTATAAGTATATGGAAAAAATTGGAAAATGGTTAAATTTACATTACAAAATGAATAAACTCTAGTTGACAGCACTAACAATGTCAAAGATATCATACACATACAAATCTTATCAATTTCAGTTTGGTTTTTTTCATATTAAGTTTTTTGTTGTTAAGAAAGTCTCTCAGACAAAAGACACTGCAATGAGATTTTATCTGTAGCAGAATTCAGAGTAACGAAATACCGGAATGAACAGGTACAAGTTCTAGAGACAAGTTGTTGAGACAAAAGTGCTTCAATACAACTTAATATATGTGTTACAATTCTCCTACACAAGATTAAATCTGAACAGTGGAGACACTGTGGACACATCAAAACCATTGCTGTAGCATGGCATATTCATCAATAAACACATGTTTGCAGACTTATACAGTAATACAGGAGGATAAATGCACAAAGATAATAAATAAAAAAGTTTTACTTCCTGGTTGCCAAATGTCAGTGCTGAGCACAGCAACGAAGTGAAAATACTTGTTCGGGAAGGTATGCTGCTTTTTTTGGGTTTTTTTCCCATAAATTTATCATAGGAATGGCAGGTACTTCATTTCCTTTTCCATAGATACTGCTGTTACAGGTTCAATGACACTTTAACAGACACTGTCTGTAGATCTATTTTCAGGTGAACACCATATTTCATTAACCTGACGGCTGGGGAAAATATCACATTCGCAGGTTGATAAATCACCATATTAACCAGAAAGCAGGTTAATAACTGTTCTATTTTATGACCTTTCCCCAACATTTAAAAGTTACAATATGACAATTTCCTGTCGCTGGATAGAAAAGATCAAAACGAGGATAGAGGGAAAAAGGAGTAAATAGAAAATTTCTGAAAAACCAATATTAATGTTAACTTAATAGATAAATTGATATACATTAAAATTCAACAAACTTAATAGGCAAATACATAACAAGACATGTCAGTGTACAACACCATCCCATTCCAGTCATCACTTCTCAAAAAAAATGTGGGAAAATCTATTGTTACTATATTTGGGTATGAATTAGTCTTGTTGGATTATTATATCAGTCCAGAGTGCTGTTACAGTATGATGTCATAGAATATAGGGAAGTACCTTGTTACTATATTTGGGTATGAATTAGTGTTGTTGGGTTATGATATCAACCCTGAGTGCTGTTACAGTATGATGTCACAGAATATTGGGAAGCCCCTTGTTACTATATTTGGGTATGAATTACTGATTTTGGATTATTATCTAATTCTGAAGGGCTGTAATGATATTTGAGCTTGGTGAAAATGTTTAGAATCAGCCAGTCAGGTAAACCAGTCATGTAAGAACACTTCTGATGTTTACAAATATAATTTGAACAAATATATCAAAAGAGTGGCTGAATGCAAAGAATCAACAAGTCGGGGAATAGGATGTTGTGGACAAAATAAATCATTGTAAATGACCCTGGCATTTCTTTATTGTTAGTAACGGAACATAAGAAAAGACAAATAAAACTTGGTATTTAAACAGGACACTTATACAGCCACTGTTTCAGCAGTACGTGGGTTTTACCTCCCAAACATTAGCACCAGGGAAAATTATAACAGCAGAGAGAGCAATTCAATGAAAAAACGTGATTGATGATGGCACAAATATAAAGAGATACAGAGATAAGGTTTACAGAGAGATGCATCCGTAACATTTGTATGTCACTTTACACTTGAAAGTACAGGTGATACAATAATACATTTATTCTATTTAGCTCCCATTAGGAAATATACTTCATTTCATTTCAATTGCTTATAATTTTCAAATATGCATCTAGCATACCCTATAATTTCCTAACAAGCTGGAGATTTTGAAACCTACCTTTATTTTTCTTTCATATTATCAGTTTACTTTTTTCTTTTTCTTAATAAAAAGAGGGAAATTCAAAATTCAGTCATTTGAAAATATAGCATTATTCCATAATGATAATGACTGATGTGAATGTGGGGTAAAAGGAACACATGACAGGAGAAATATCCAATTTTATGCCTCAATGTTGTCTCTAAGATTCTTAAAATCCTAACACACATGAAAGTTGAGGAAAATTATAAATGAACTGGTAATCTTTTATCTTTGGAGTATTTTGCTTATTCAATTTAAAATGATAAAATATAAATCCAATGGATGATTCTCTTTTGCCTAAGTAGGATCTATTTATCTGATCATCAGCTCTCATAATCTCTGCTTTTTGTCCGAGTTGGGATGTATATTTAATAGAAATATGAAAATATTACACTTTTAGTAAAAGAGAAGTTAGGTGCTTAAAGAAATTTTGAAAAACTACACATGTCAAGGTCTCATGATAGTAAGAACCTCCTATCTATTAATATTCATGAATGTTTATCACGAGCTACAACAATAAAGTATACAAAAAGTCTGCTATATTACTAATTATGTCAGTTGTCTTCATACTCCACCACCTGATCTTTCCACTGGAATCTTGTCACGTTCCTGCATCATCTGGGTAACTTGAGCAAATCTTGAGTTGGCCACATGTCCACTTTTTAATGCACTCATCAGCTACAACGGAAAAAAAGTTCATGTAAAATGTTATTTTTTTGTAACTTTTTAATAGTTTGATTGATTGGAAAAAAACTTAAATATCTGTCACTTCAATTTTTTTGGCGAAAAACTTTTTCTGACTGCATCGTCTTTTTATCTTTTTAAAATGATAACAAATTTGTTACAAATTTCAAATTTTTCCACAGAAAGCTCGTTTATAGCATAATCACCTTTATTGCATTCATGGTGAGATAACAGAAAACCATTCAATGAATTTAGATTCCATGTTAATATAGAGAGAAAAGATTTACGAAAATTTGTTCTAGTTAGAAACAAAAACGTTACAATTGAAAATTTCAAGTTCTAAATAAACATCAGATTTGTCTTGTTTTGATACTGTCTAATCTATGCAGCATCTGATTAAGTATGTGCATAAAATACCTCATTAATTTGACTATGATGTGAAAATAGGATATACCTGTAATATTTCAGATTCTACTATCATGTTAATATTAATGTCATAAAAGTCAAGGACTGGTACCTTATTTTTATCATGATTAAAAAAAAATGTTTATAAATGTGTGTCACTTGCTCTCTGTATAATTTATAGGGTGGTTCTGGGAGTACATTCATTTCCTGTTTTTTGAAGAATTGCTGACATTAATGTAATGGTTCACTCATTCAAAACATTCGGTCTTTGAAAACATTACTACATTTTCACCAAAGAAATATAAGAAAATATTAACTTAGATAAAAACTTACATTTTCACTGCATTAATGATATGTTATATAACAAAATTTATGAAATATGCTATCAGAGGCAGATGAACCAAAGGTTGAAAGAGAGCATTTACTGCTGTATCTGTGCTGTATACATTGCAGGTTTTTTCCTTAAAGTAACATTTTATTTAAACCTATAAAACATAATGTCAAAATATCTAATGTTGAAGAATATAGTCCTGTTGCCTGCCTTTTTCTGGGGCCCTGAGTAAAATTTACATCACAATTGGATTGATTTAAAAATGTAGTAAAAAGATAATCTAATGGTTTCCCAATTAATATCATGTATCATTTCACTTATATAGCAGAATTTTTCTCATTTCTATCAGCGCAATATTGATCTGTCTAAGGCAATACACAGCCATGTTCACTGTTCTTTCACTATACACCTATCCATGTAATACAGGCGAGCGTGCATACAAATATGATGTGATCCTCCCCAACTGACCCAAGCACCTGATACAACGTATACACATTTGTGTACAACAATAGTTATTTGCAGTGACTGTTTATATTTTGTTTTAATTTTCTAAGGAAAATTTTGTTTGCTATATCTAGGTACAAAGAATTCATTTTCTATGTTAAGTTGTCAATTAATCGCAGAATAAAAAGAGAAATGATTTTTGTGTAATATGGCATCCTTGATAGTATGTTGTCGACATCAGAAGCTAATGTGTTGGGTTTTTTTTCCCTCTCAGTATTTCAGTTTTAGAAATGATAGAAAAATACTCCTTCATCTGTTGAGGTGAAGAATATTATTTCACCCTAAAGGTCACAAAATGGGGTAAAATACTCAGTAGAGCCTTGGATTTTATGACATTTTGTGACCTCTCAGGTGACATATCCCTATCCTACGCCATGCCATGTGAAACTGTGTGTAACCTTGATCCTTTTCACACATAATTTGCTGTCTTCATCCTGCCATATTTGTGAAATCATCCCATATGATTCAGAATTTGGTCTTCATGTACTACAGAAACAATCACCAACAACGTTAATAAATTCATAAATCTTGTACCTAAATGCAGAGGATTGAATGCCTGAACATGTGCCAGATGATTATCATTTAATTATCAACATACACCTGGAATGTCTAGGTCAATATTCATTTTAAAAAGAGGATTTTCCAAGATGACAGTTGAATCAAATTATTTTTTTTTTTTTAATCCAAATTTCTTACAAGACTAATTCTACAATTAGTTTAGGATATTCAGTTTTAAAAATATAGCTGAAGATTACCCACCATGTACATTAAACCAGTGAAACAAACACAAAAACATTACTGCACATATTATATTCAACATCTAGGGTTTACAGGTTAAATTTTGTTAATTATCCAGTCTATATCTAATGTCTTGTAACAAATATTGTAAGAGTCTATCAAATGAATTTACAAATAAATACTGAATGTAGTCCCTAATAGATTTTGATCTTTAACTTTCTGTTTGGTCACCAAGTCCTTTTTAATAAACTATGACTGATATACATGACTAACTAGGTCATTATCCAAAAATCTTTCAAAGAATAATCTAAACACTAAATTCTTTTTTTTTAATTAATCTATTAACATTCCTTTTGTTAGATGACAATTCAGAATCCTTGGTTTGTTTTTAAAGATTGCAACGTTAAAGAAATCAAAGAACACACTGTGTAAGCTGTGGAAAATTATTCCCAAAATGTATAAAGTCAAGTTTTAAGAAAATTAATAGCTGTGCAGAACAATAATCATATGTGGAGAAAGTCTTTGACACACTGATGTAGGTAATGACAGTTTTAAACTCCAAGCTTTCAGAGAATGCTTGATAAGTCTTCTTTAAAAATTATACTTGAATTCGATATGCTTATTACAGAAAAATTAACTTGCTGAAACATCAAAATCTCATCATAATTGTTGAAAAAGTTAATGTAATTATTTAAGAAATTTTAGGTAAGTTTGTATCAAGACAGAAGTAATTGTCACAGCAAGCATGTAATTTTAATTACTTTGTTGATATATTGTAAGCAATATAAAGCAACGTTGCAAAAAAGTGAAACCACACAAAAATCTTTTTAAAGTGAAATGAATGTTAAGAAAGCACACGACAGAGGTCAAAGGTCAAGGCCATCAATAACCCCCATCGATGAGAATAAAGTAATTTATGAATAATCTACAAACACAACAAGAGATCCCACAGGGATCTTGACAGCCACCATTGTTTGATCTTTATATGATCTTTAAAAGTTGGATCTTTCCCCTTCTTTTCTCTTCTCTCTTCTCGATCCGTTTTCGCTCTTAATGATATGAAATTCTAAAATTCATTTAAGAAATAACGATAAAGATCTTTAACTACCATTTCTGTTTTTGTAATCAGTTGCAACATCAAAAAGGCACAACCAAGGACCTAGAGAAATCTACATATGAAATTTCAGAGAGATCTGTCCAATTCTTTTCAAAAAATACTGATAACAAACTTTCATTGTTGAAATCTAAGATGACAGCTATTTTGTTTTTCTAATCTGTCCCAAAATCATACAGGTACAACTAGAGACCAAGGGTAACGGACATATACATTTTTAAAATGAGTCGTCCAGAACTTCTTAAGAAATAGCAATAACAAATTTCATTTAAAAAAAGAAATCAAAGGTGGGCGCCTGTCAGCCACGTTATGTTTCTAATCAGTCCAAAAATCAAACGGACATAATTAGGGACCAAAGAGAACCTGCATATGAATTTTAACGGAAATCCATACAGTCTGTCTCAAGAAATAGTGATAACAAAAACTGTTTACAGACAGAAGTACCTCAAACCATGGACGTTGTGCAATTTCAGAAACCCCTACATGGCGAGCTAATAATTTGATAAAGTCAGGACTGAAATGATGAATTCAAATAACAAAAATACTGAATTAATTTTAGCAAAGATTCATCTCTTTCTTAAGAATCATTTGATTAAAATTTATATATATATAAACAGACAGATTCTATTTCTCATCAACAAAGATTCTATTTTTCTTCAGATTATATTTCTTATCAACACAGATACGATTTCTCATCAACTTATTCTTCATATACTTAACAATAATGAGAGATTATATTTTTCATCAATACTTCAATTTATCTTCTTTTGACTATTTCATCATTCTCAGATAAATCTATCTGGCCACTGATTCTATTTCTCTTTCATATTGTTATCCTGTTTTCAGGATACTAAATAATAGTGATAAATTCTACTTTTACTTGATTTTCATATTTTTGACATACATACAATAGTGACAGATTCTATTTCTCATGATTTTTTTTTTTTTTTGAATTTTTTTTTGGTGACCTGTTTTGATTATTTTTTACAATTCAATTATTATAATGAAATAATTTCATGTTAGATTCTATTTGTAATAAATCCTGTTATCCTGATTTCCATTTTCAAGAGAGTAAAACAATAATGTCAGATATTACCTATTCTCATTTTTTTTCCTATTTTGATTATATTAACATTTCAGTCACTATATCAAATGATCTGGTGATAGATTCTATTTCTTAAGGTATTCTATTATATGCTTTTTATGGTAAAAGGAATAAAAGAATTTAATATGACAATGTGGTAGGTGTTGACCTTTGACCTTGTGAGTTTAGGACGGGAAAAGGTTGTGACTTGTGTACCATATGACGTTTCTTATATGCGCCTATATCATCAGATTGACTTCTCCAGTGATCGTTAAGTGACACGGCTATATTTACATAGTACATCAACTACAATGGTAAATAAATAAAAAAAACATGACAGAAAAATACCAACAGTGCCTTTCTGTATTTGTAGAAAGAGAGAAAGAGTCTGGCCAAGAAATGATTAGTATATAAAGCTGTTGAAAATAACCAACAAGGTAAGTGTATTGTTCTACCTGTTGAATCAGGGTTCCCTCAGATTACTACTATGGTTGATACCATATCAAACATTTTGCCCATTATCTCCACTTGTAGATGTTTTTACCAAGAGAAAACCATATTGAATCCTTGACTTAAAGATAATTCTAAATACATTTCAGAATTTTGGTTTTTCCTGATTGTAATACAAATTTTGTTATGTACTGAGGTGACGATTTTTGAAGTGATTACAAATCAGAGCAAAAAATAAATTTTGTTATCAATTGTAAATGTTTTATACACTTCATGTTACATTTCTATGCTATTCCGGTATTCACAGTTGATTTTCAATGTCCAGCTTGACTACTTCTTTGGTTCGGGAAACCCCCTCAAATTTAGCATTTATACCGCTACGTGATAGATTTTAAAACGAGGCAGTTCCTTTTGTAAACATGAACACATGACGGTGGGCAGAAATGACAGCAACAGTAGTGACACAGTCAATAAAATCCTGTTTATCGGCACTAGATTGTTTTTATGGGTATGGCAAATGTTATTTAATAACTCTAAATCAATTCAGAATTACGAAATAAGTCAACAGTAATTGCCAACCAATTCAGGCAGGAAGCCATTTTGTTTAAAGGCAATGGTGTTTTGTGTGCAAGCGTTATCGTATATAACACAAAAATTTACGAATCCAAACTGTTGATCAACGGATAAGGATTTCCTCAATAATCAGTTAATTACTTTGTATACATTTCTCAGTGAAAACCAGCTGTCATTGTTAATAAGTCAATACACTTGATATACATTGTATAATATGCTATAAAAAAAATTAATACGAAAAACAAATTTTATCGTGATGTCACTTAAAGTGTCTTATGATTTCACCTAAGATAAGTCAAGTCTGGACAGTTTTCTCTCATATCCTAAAAATCTGCAAGTGGAGATTTTGATCATGTTTACAAAATATTCAGAGAGCAAGTGATACACACGTATAACAATGCTTATTGAATAGGATACAGTTTATAGTATTTTGTGCACATTGTCCAGTACCCTTGATGAAGGCTTGCGTTTCACCAGCTGTAATCAACCAGTTGTCATTTAGTTTTTATAATAGACTCTACCATCAATATGAAATATTTGGTTTTTGGTTTAAATGTGCTTATATGAAAATACAAAAAAATGATTGCAAACACAAGAGTTAAGCATTTGTGTTTGCAATAATTTTTCTCTATTTAAATAAAAAAAGTGAGAAAAATACATTTTTTCTTATGAAAATGTATATATATTTTTTACACTGCATAATGATCCATTGTGCTAAAGGAAAATCTATTCACATTGTACCTAACATAAATTGTTTGGTTGTCTATATATCTATCTTTACCACACTTCGTTTTGCTCTTTATACCACATTTAGCTACCATACCCAGTGAACCAAAAACATTTTTAAATTATGAAAAAGCCAAGGTGTGGGCTTACTGCAGGACAAATCAAATTTGTATAGAGTATTCTATAGAAAAACACTATATACAGGTGGGCTTATTACCAGACAAAGAGTTATCTGACAACTGTAATTAACAGCAACTGAGGTGGCTGGCATTGACTTACCACCAGGCTATTTGTAGGATAATTATCATGGTATACAAATTACATACTATCAAACTGACTATTCCTTAATCTGTTGGAAAATAGAAATCTGGTAGTCTCATGGAAACATAGGATGATGGAGGGATCAAAGAAGGGTCTAGGTGTCCATCATTGTTTGACAGTTTTTCTTCTTTCTTTTTTCCTTTCCTTTTACTTTTAATTATATTTGAAAATTTGAATTTAAGAAAAGAGAGTCTTGGGGCACCTGTCATTATTTGATCTTTATGCGATCTTTTAACAAATGAATTTTCTATACTTCCCTCTAGTTTTGCTTTTAATTGAATTGAAATAAGAAAAATCCTTTAAAGAAATACCAATAATAATCTTAAATGCAATGACTGAAATAACTGCTGTCAGCCATTTTGTTTTTCTGATCTGTTTCAGAATGTCATGGGTACAACAATGGGAAGGTACATACAAAACCTGAGAAAGATCCATTCAGTATATCTCCAGAAATAGTAATAGCAAAATACAGTTCCTGTCAAAATCAAAAATGGTTGGGGATGAAATGAAAAGTATATTTTGAGTTGTAGGAGCTGCATTTGACAGTGCTGCCATCTTTATCAAATACACATAAATTTGACAGTGCTGCCATCTTTATCAAATACACATAAATTTGACAGAATAGTTGGCTTTACTACAATCTGCTTACAGATGGCAGAGTCTATTACAAAAACTGGAGTAAAACAAACACAAACAAAAAAACCAACATCAACAAATCTATCAATGAACAATTAGGTTTTACGAAATAGCAGGATATGACAGATTGTGAAAATGGAAATGTATCTGATAGCCAATCAAACTGAGAAATCTTAAACATCAAACATTTGGAATAAGGATGATAAAAAACTTAAGCACAACAAATACTAGTTAAAATTGTTGTAAACTATTCTAAATAAATAGTGCAACAGCTGTCACACAAGGCCAAAATATGTAACAGATAGTGTAGCAGAGAGAGATCCACCTCCTTATAAGGCCTGGGCCAAATGACACAAACATTTCTAATTGTCCCATTAAAATTTGGAAGTTTAAGATGCTATATATAGGGAACATTGTGATATTTGCTTGTTTATTTCAGTAGAAAAGGTTAAAATTTCTAAAATGTTGATAAGCGGCTGAGCAATTGTCATGTAAGCCCAAAATATCCTAAACTGAAATCAGTACTTATTGAATAGAGAAGGATGGGAAAGCCTTTAATTGACTAAGAGAGCTAAAGAAAAATCCTTGTATTAAAATCATTATGTTTTCCTAAATCTAAACAAATTTTATACTCGTGTCTTTGACGGGAATTAGGCTAAATAGAATGTGCAGTATAAATAATTAAAGAACGAAAGAATTTAATGTGAAATTAAACACAAAATCTTTATTGAAGTTTCCAATATTGTTGATTGTGATGGCTTAACTTTGAAGTATCTGAGGTATATGTACCATATCACTGATATCACTGATAGCTGGAAATTTGTGCAGTAAACATGAACTGTATGAAAAAAAAGTAACCATCAATGCGTTCTAACATCATATTTTGTTTTTTTTAATGTTCATGTTCAGAATGTGTGATGAATATAAAAAAAAACTTTCATCCAAGTCAAAAAATCTACTTATATGTTTAAAACTAATTTCATTGCTTGGACTCCCAAGTTGATACTTCTCCATAAAAGTCAGTAAATGTAATTCACCAATAACATCACCTTATAATTAGGATCATAATCACATGATTTTAAACGACCAGCCAATCAACATGGACATTTTTCTCCACGGTAAATTTTGTACTTTTTCATGGAGAAGGCTCAACATGCGTGATTTAAATCAAGAAATAAAAAATAAAACAATTTATTTGACTTAAAATTAGATAAGTGGTTTTTTTTTTTTTTTAAACAGAGTTTTTATATTCTGTATATATTTTGGCCAAGCTATTGACAGCTAACACTTAAGTGTCAGTCTCACTCATCAGGGTCCAGAATTGACACAATTTGGGGCAGCTTAGATGTTTGAATTCCACGGCCATCTCTTTTGTGAGCCTGCACTGCACTTAGCAGCTATTTGTAAACCACAACATATAATAATCATTCTATATACATGTACAAACATTTCTCAATTGCAATTCATTATAATTTGCACATGTTTCTGTCGATAAATCCATCATGCTTCACTGCTGTATTAAGTGGAAAGATTATGGATGAATCAGATAAAAATATGTTTGGTATTTCAAGATAAAAAATCTTGTAAGCTGGCCATCAGCCCCAATTTTTCTGAGAAATTGTAAAAATATTTGTTAAAAAAAAGTCTCAGAATACTGATCAGAAAAAACATGAAATTTCTTACCTGTAAGAATTCACCGAGATCTACTTGAGCATTTTTGTTCAAGTCTACTTCATTCAGAATATCATGGAGTTGATCCTCTGTAACTCGTTCTCCAATTTTCTGTGATTAAGAAATCAAAATTATCAGCTTAAGAAAAAGGATTATTTTCTTTTATTGTTAAGACATTTCATTAAGAATAGTTAATATAATGATTTATGTAGGTATAAATTTGTTTGTAAATGTGGCATGTTTGGATAGATTAATCAATTATACAACGGTAGATCAATCATTGTGACTTAACACAATACTGCAACAATACATCCATTTCTATAACTTCAACAATAGATCCTTTAACCAATACCTCACAAAGATTTACAAAATCTCTCAACTGTCACTAAATAGTGTAAACATTTAAGTGGGTTGAAATTTTTCTGTCAACATCGAACAGAAGTGATGGATTATTTTTTTTCACATAAATACTCTATGATTCTCAATTACTGTTACTTCTCATAAACAGACTATACTCCACCATCATAATAATCTGTGATATCTGACGTGTTTGAAACTTGATGACGTTATATGTTTAAAATTTTCATTTTCCACAGAGAAAACTGAATAATGAAATAAATCTTTCTCTAGCAACATCTGAAGGGCACCTTTAAAGTGTAAAAGTAACAACACTATCTATTGAAGCATAAGATTCAGTGTTAGTGACACTACCATTGAGTAGGTACCTTCATACTTGCCTGTTAGGTGATTGACATGCTGGTATTATTGAACTACTGCATTAGTTGATAATATTTGTGGGAAATTTAATCTGGCTATATTTGAGGTCATTAACATTAAATACCCATCAAATGTTTAACATCAATCAAAAAGCAAGGACATTTATGCTATAAATGATACCAATGTATAGGCATAACCAAACTAATCACCGTGAAATAGCCCAAAAACAAATGTAAAATATTAGCCCCTACAAAATTAAACATTTTTACAGTAGTGGCAGCAAAAAGATGAGATCACTTGAATTTTCAATGAAAAAAACTAATAAAGAATATTTTCACACATACACAATCCAGAATCTTATAAGGTTTATAACTTTATGTTATGATAGTTTGAGTTAAGTTTGGCTTAAGTTAAAACCAAATCTGTTGAGAAGTTCTCAATCTAGAATGTGATGTGATGTAAGGAGACGAGACAGAAAATGGCAGAACTGGCAGATATGAGTAATACTACAGGACCCCCTCCCCAAATACTTCCTTAAATGGTGTAAAAACTGTAGAAGATGTAGGCAGAGAACAAACTTAAAATCAATACAAGTTGTTAGTCATGATCTCTCTCCTGAAACAATCTCTAACTTTGCAATTCATTCCTACATCTAGTCTTGTTCCACAGGCAACCCAACATAACACTAGAATTTGTATAAAAGCTGATCAACTCCTAATCATCTTTTCTAGACTGACCTTGAAGTATTTACGAAGGTCGTTAACAGTAATGTAGCCTTTATGGTCACTGTCTAGGTTCTTGAAGCGCTTCACATACAAGTTGATTTCATCTTTTGTGAAATTAATAGGCACATTTTTGGCTCCAGTTCCTAGATCAAGTCCCATCTCTCTTCTCAGGAAGGTCCGTGCATGTTCTATTTCCTCCTGAAGATTGGAAACAAATTGAACCACTGTATACAATAATATGAATTCAAATTATTGTCCAGTAAAGTTAAATGTGTTCCTTATTTCAATACAAAATACTGTAAGATCACATACTTTCATGAGGCTCAAGTTTCATTTTTTTTTTTTTTTAATCGCTGATTTGTTGACACATGATTTCATAGACAAATATACAATACATTATAATTTCAACATTTCAAGGACATATGAATTCCTGGATTAAGAGTACCCATGAAATTGATGATAAAAACCCACCACAAACAGTGAATGATTCCACAGTATCTGATGTACAAATATCAGAGGAATCTACACCATCAATCTGAGGTACAAATATCATAGGAATCTACACCATCAATCTGAGGTACAAATATCATAGGAATCTACACCATCAATCTCAGGTACAAATATCATAGGAATCTACACCATCAATCTGAGGTACAAATATCATAGGAATCTACACCATCAATCTCAGGTACAAATATCATAGGAATCTACACCATCAATCTCAGGTACAAATATCATAGGAATCTACACCATCAATCTCAGGTACAAATATCATAGGAATCTACACCATCAATCTGAGGTACAAATATCATAGGAATCTACACCATCAATCTGAGGTACAAATATCATAGGAATCTACACCATCAATCTGAGGTACAAATATAGGAATCTACACCATCAATCTGAGGTACAAATATCATAGGAATCTACACCATCAATCTGAGGTACAAATATCATAGGAATCTACACCATCAATCTGAGGTACAAATATAGGAATCTACACCATCAATCTGAGGTACAAATATCATAGGAATCTACACCATCAATCTGAGGTACAAATATCATAGGAATCTACACCATCAATCTGAGGTACAAATATCATAGGAATCTACACCATCAATCTGAGGTACAAATATAGGAATCTACACCATCAATCTGAGGTACAAATATCATAGGAATCTACACCATCAATCTGAGGTACAAATATAGGAATCTACACCATCAATCTGAGGTACAAATATCATAGGAATCTACACCATCAATCTGAGGTACAAATATCATAGGAATCTACACCATCAATCTGAGGTACAAATATTGACCAATAATGAATTTGGATTATTTTATTTTTTTGTTCTTATCCTTTATTCATCAATCTGACAAAATGTCACAAGAAAATAAAACGAGACCAGTGATTATCAAAAAGACTTCCTGTTTTGAAGTGTCTTCCATGAGATTTAACACAGATGGCTGATCACATAGTCATTTAGTTGTAATTTAGATATACCCTAACCTATTTAACTGTCTGACCATAACATACCTTTTTATTATCCAGAAATTCCTTTTTAATTAAACTAATGGTTAATAGCCTTACTTTTTAAGGTCATGGTTGGTTGATCAGAGGCTGATGTTGTAATTTTCCCTTACTTTTTAAGGTCATGGTTGGTTGATCAGGGCTGATGTTGTAATTTTCCCAGACTTTTTAAGGTCATGGTTTGTTCATCAGGGGCTGATGTTGTAATATTCCCTTACTTTCTAAGGTCATGGTTTGTTCATCAGGGCTGATGTTGTAATTTTCCCTTACTTTTTATAGTCATGGTTGGTTGATCAGAGGCTGATGTTGTAATATACCCTGACTTTTTATAGTCATGGTTGGTTGATCAGGGCTGATGTTGTAATTTTCCCTTACTTTTTATAGTCATGGTTGGTTGATCAGGGCTGATGTTGTAATATTCCCTTACTTTTTATAGTCATGGTTGGTTGATCAGGGCTGATGTTGTAATATTCCCTTACTTTTTATAGTCATGGATGGTTGATCAGAGACTGATGTTGTAATATTCCCTTACTTTTTATGGTCATGGTTGGTTGATCTGAGACTGATGTTGTAATATACCCTTACTTTTTATAGTCATGGATGGTTGATCAGGGCTGATGTTGTAATATTCCCTTACTTTTTATAGTCATGGATGGTTGATCAGAGACTGATGTTGTAATATTCCCTTACTTTTTAAGGTCATGGTTGGTTGATCAGAGGCTGATGTTGTAAATATTCCCTTACTTTTTATAGTCATGGTTGGTTGATCAGGGCTGATGTTGTAATATACCCTGACTTTTTATAGTCATGGATGGTTGATCAGGGCTGATGTTGTAATATACCCTGACTTTTTATGGTCATGGTTGGTTGATCAGGGCTGATGTTGTAATATTCCCTTACTTTTTATAGTCATGGATGGTTGATCAGGGCTGATGTTGTAATATTCCCTTACTTTTTAAGGTCATGGTTGGTTGATCAGAGGCTGATGTTGTAATATTCCCTTACTTTTTATAGTCATGGTTGGTTGATCAGGGCTGATGTTGTAATATACCCTTACTTTTTATAGTCATGGTTGGTTGATCAGGGCTGATGTTGTAATATTCCCTTACTTTTTATAGTCATGGTTGGTTGATCAGGGCTGATGTTGTAATATACCCTTACTTTATAAGGTCATGGTTGGTTGATCAGGGCTGATGTTGTAATATACCCTGACTTTTTATAGTCATGGTTGGTTGATCAGGGCTGATGTTGTAATATACCCTTACTTTTTAAGGTCATGGTTGGTTGATCAGGGCTGATGTTGTAATATACCCTGACTTTTTATGGTCATGGTTGGTTGATCTGAGACTGATGTTGTAATATACCCTTACTTTTTATAGTCATGGTTTGTTGATCAGAGACTGATGTTGTAATAATTCCTTCTTACATAAAGCTATAACGCCAAAGGCATTTACCTCTACATCTTTACATTAATTGATCCATCCTTGATACTACAGGCGTTTCACTACACCACTCTGCACTCCTGTAACATTTCATGGCTAATTTGAAGGTTCTGTGTGTGACATCTTGTTTGTTGTAAAGTTCAGTATCGCTCCTTTGTATTCTTCATTCAAAGACCATATCAGGATATGATTGGTTGTTATTTTTCTCCTGGAACCCACTCTAGACCAATCAAATTACTTCACAAGTGCCTTCAATTTTGCCATAACATATGTTCGAGGGGTGCAGAGAGCGAACTGATCATAACCCCTCGAATATCAAGGATGCAAATGATCACTCTATAAAGCATACTCTGCACAGGAAATGTAAAATCATGTGATGAAATAGTGATAAAAACTCTGGTGATTTATTACTGTCTGTTATGTATTAAAGGCTAAACTAGGAACATATGGCCATTGTTCATCTCATGATCATTAATGTAATAATAAAGTGAAGCATATTAAAGATGCATTGGCCTCAGTTTGATCAAAAATTCTTTATGTACGGAAATTCCCACTTTCAACAGCATTCCTTTATCTAAGGAAATTCTCACTTTCACCAGCATTCCTTTATTCAAGGAAATTCCCACTTTCACCAGCATTCCTTTATGTAAAGAAATTCCCACTTTCACCAGAATTCCTTTATGTAAGGAAATTCCCACTTTCACCAGCATTCCCTTATGTAAAGAAATTCTCACTTTCACCAGCATTCCTTTATCTAAGGAAATTCCCACTTTCACCAGCATTCCTTTATGTAAAGAAATTCCCACTTTCACCAGCATTCCTTTATGTAAAGAAATTCCCACTTTCACCAGAATTCCATTATTTAAGGAAATTCCCACTTTCACCAGCATTCCTTTATCTAAGGAAATTCCTACTTTCACCAGCATTCCTTTATTTATGAAAATTCCCACTTTCACTACCATTCCTTTATTTAAGGAAATTACCCCCCTCATCAGCATTCCTTTATTTAAGGAATTTCTGAGTTTCACTAATATTTCTTAACTTACGGCAATTCTGAGTTTCACAAGCATTCCTGATTTAAAGAATTTTCTTAACTGGAATATTAAAATTTGCAATCATGAAAGAATTCAGAAAAACATTCCTTTGCATATAAATACTGCTGTGAGTTAACTAAAATAGATAGGTTTTTTTGGTTCAACCTTGAATTCATCCTCAAATAATTGAAATGTGTATTTCAGCTTCTTCCCTACTGAAAACAAACTAAGTCAAATAAGTTTCCCCCAAACAGAAGCTTGTACAGGCTAAGTATATGGATCTCTGTTCACATGACATGACCTATCACCTTCTGCTTTTTCTTGTCCCATTTCAGTTCTTCTGCCATGATCTCCACGATTCTGGGTAGGGCTTCCTCAGCAGCATGTACGTTGCAAAAGGTAAGGCGGGTACGCCGTGCCAGCACATCAATTGCTCGACAAGCATATTCCTTCACTGCATATCGTACCTAAATTATCAGTAGAATAAAACACTCTTTTAACAAATGTTCATATTATCAGATGAACTACATCTTATTACACAACAAACGAAAGTATCTGAGTTTCTCTAAAAACAAGTAAATGTACCAAACTACAGAATTTCAGTACAAGCAAGGAAATTATATCCTCGTGTAGTGTCTCTGTGGCAGACTTCAGATGACGATGATGATGATGATGATGGTGATGATGATGGTAATGATTGTTTTGACAGGGTGAATCAACTGGGTGCTTGGAAATTGTGAATTTGTTTAAAAGAAAGTCTATCAATGCCTTAAACCCAATATTTGGTTTCCATCACTGCTCACAATTTTCCATTTCACAATTATAAACTGTTTCCCGTTTTTCCGCTAATGTCTCATTTTCACTATAAGATTGCCAAACAAACTTTTTTATAGGCAAATTTTAATTGAGTAAAATTTGTGATATAGAATTTCAGTTCCTGCTTTTAAAGAGATCTAATTACATGCTACATTTATGTATCTGATTTTGATACCAAATTCTAAAGTTTGACTCTAGTGAAAAAACCTATTACACTATAATAAATTTAGGCAGGTAATTTTTATAGGTTTTCTCTAAATAACAGACCTTCCATCCTACTACCAATCAGGATAATTTTGTTTTTTCCTTTTCTAAAATACCAAACTTTATACAAACCTCTGCCTCTATGTATGGAAATTCCTCGTGTAAACGTTTGCCAACGACAGGCCATCGTTTTCCAGTTAGTGAGGCAAGCTTGGCCACTTTGAAGGCTTTGTCTCCGTAGGTACTGGCAAGATGCTGCGCAACCTGTTGTAACATTTAAGTAGATAATGTGTGAATTGGTTAGAATCTTATAGGGAAAGAATAGCCCCACCCATCAGCCCCATTGGTGTCAGCAAGGATCTATGTGCATAGTATCAAATTATCATACTATACTAATAATTCTAACCAAGTGTAAAATATTTCAGATGGAAATCAAATAAATAATTCTTCAATGTAACTTTGCTATAACTATAGTACGTTGTGCCCCTTCCCCTGGGGATTCTACCATACTTAGGAGTTCAGATGAAATTGGTGTCAGTAGCACCACCATTTAGACCTCTGATGGCAGTGACCATATCATTTACAATTTTGGTTCCCCTTTTTTTTGGCAATGGATGATCTAGGCAACACTGAGATTTGTTCAGGGGTTTTCAAGAAGAAGTAGAAAATATTAATTGTTTATGACTTATATATGTTGTGGTAATAGTTAAACAAAAAATGGTATCCTTTCAAGTTTCCAATAAATCCTAATTAACATGATAGAAAGTCTTCTCAAACTTAAAATGACAGCTTTAACTTATGAACCATCAAAAAATTCTGTCAGTTATGTATTTATCTAAATAATTATACCATTATATAAACATACATCATTCTCTAAGCCGAAGTCCTGGACAAGCCTAATGAAGAAGGTAGGGGTATACCCATGTGCCCCATCTAGCAGCAAGCCTTTTGTACGGCATTTTGTCTTGGGCTCCAGATTGCACACAGTCACGGCACGATCGACTGTTTCCTCAGCCATATGGCGATATGTTGTCCACTTGCCTCCTGTTTAATCACAGAATTTTCCTTCATTTTTTTTTATTTCTTATAAATCATTCATTTCTATTATAACTATATTATATTACAGTACAGATAATTGTTTAATCTGACAACAACAAAGTGGGTGCTCACTCCTCCAACAAAAATTATAATGTCTCACTTGTCCCTACTTCTCTATATCATCAAAATTACTAAGTAAAAAAAATGTTTTTTGAGAAAAAATCTGCTCATTTGTGAACACAATCATTAAACAAGATCCAATTAATGGTAAATTATTGGTTAAATGAAGAATCCAACGTATGTGTTAGAGTGGCCATACATAGATGTAAGTACACTCCAGGTCTGGTTAAAACAGCTTATATACTTGGACAGACAAAAAACTTGACACAAAGTTAGACAGCATAACAAGGCATGCTAAAAATCAATTAATAAAATCCAATTAACAGTAAAATGTACATCAGAATGTGAAATAAGTGTTGGGATGATAATCTATACGGTAGATACAAATATATCCTAGATTTGATGGTGACAGCTAAAATACTTCAAGAGAAATGAAGCTTTGTAACACCCAACTAAACTAAACACGTCATCGTAGCTCAATTCATCAACAAAGCCCCATTTACAGTCAGTTAAAATTCAGAATCTGAAATGTGCTTTTTGATGATAATATATAGATGTAAATTTCATGTTTTATTACGATGTGGAGTGAAACACACAACTTCAATATGGCGTAATTAATTCACAAAATCCAGTTAATTATCAATTATGATAACATTCTGAATTCTGAACTACGATATTCTTGCTTATTCATAACTATAACACAGGTTTTGTGATGACAGCATTTGTTAGTTACAAATACATGGTAAATTCTGTTCAGTCTGACGTAAAAAAACAACAGAAAATTGGGGAAACAAATTTCCTTTCATATCTGATAATCGTAAGAAAAGAACACAACGCATTATACTGCACGTAGTGATATCTTTATATGTATACGTTATAGGTAGACTTTCCTACACAGGATACCTGATTGTACAGACTATACCTAACAACAGGTACCTACTGGAATTTATGGCCTAGCGTGGAATTGTACACCATTATCAAATATACAGCGACAACAGTGGTGGGGTGGTTAAGATGTCTGATTTTTTTATTGCTTTTATTTTTTGATAAACAATGATCAAACATACCTGCTATGGTGATGAGATTACTTCTATGATCGTCGCTGTTTACAGGACATTGAGCAATAATAAACAATGATCAAACATACCTGCTATGGTGATGAGATTATCTGGTGTTACTTCTATGATGTGGTTTCTGGCTATTGACTGCGTATCTGCTTTATTTGGATCAGACACCAGGGGACGTATACCACACCAGGCTGACAACACATCACCTCGACGAACTGAAACATATTTTACAGATACATATTGTGGTTACAGAAAAAAATGTTTTAATTTGATGATCTGAACAATTTTCTAATTCAACGTTTTTTCTGTGCTATGTCACAAAATTTTTACACAATATTCAAAAATTAATTTTCTTTGTCTTTTATTTGTTTTACATACACATAATGTAATTAGGTTATGTGGGAAAAGCTACAATTGTAACTAAAATCGAGTAAATTGAATAACTGGTGAAGTCCATCACATAACAGCTATAGTAATCCACAAATAACCTGAACAATATAAATATTTGATCTTTACATTTACAGTTTTTCTTCATTAAATTTCAGTTAAATTTTCATTTTTTCCAAACTTTATAGACAAAAAAATTAACTAGATCATCCTCATTTCCTGTGTAAAAACTACCATCAAGATTCAGCCTATTGTGGTCGGTACCAAATTAATATTTCACATATATTCATATATCACTTGCTAAATACAATATTCCAACGTTTATTCTCTTAAGATTCTGAAATGAAAACCTTATAAATTTGATAAAGATTAGCATAAGGACAGTACTCGGTATATCCAACCATTCTTTATTTTGTAGATATATCTTAAAACACAAAATCCCAGCCGAGTGTGAGATATAGTGACATTTCACAGGAGTCTTTCATTCATAACACTATATCACAAAGCACACAATAGAGACTATCATTATCTACATAGGATGATAATTAACATATCAAAATTTCTAGTGTCAATTACAAAAATAAATATACAAAACTAAAGTAGAAATCAACAAGAAAATTAGAGCATCGATATATCACCAAGGACACAGCTACGTATCTTTTAAAAGGTCAGTGACACATACTTTCTACGTCAGGATCCAAGTAGTGACGGATTTCACTGAGAATGAATTGGATTTCTTTTTCAGTTGGAGATGGAAAGTCTGTCACCTCACAAGCTTCATCAGTTGTTCCTGGATAATTACACAACAAATGACACATTTTCATCAGGGATAGAAATCTTGGAAGATAATTTTATTTTTCAACTTGAAACTGATTAATACAACAACTAAAATTCTGATTGTCGACGGACAGCCATTAGGTCTTCGAATTTGATTATTTTAAAAATTTAGAATACTTAATAAGTATGAAAAAGGAAACAGTTCAAATTTGATAAAAATATTATCAGTTCTTTCGAGAAAAAATGATGACAGTTTAAATGTGTAATTATTCAAATTGACCATCTTGTTAAATTACTTAAATTTCCAAAGTTACACATGTATACACAATCTAGTATCAATAGACAAAGAATGTTAACAGGAAAAATTATATAACAGTGTCAAAAGATTGGATTTGTATCAGGACAAAAGAATTATTGTAGACAAGAGATAATAAAGAATCTCATTGCCTTATAACAGTAATCAAAAAGACAGTATTTCTTCAGTAAAGATAGTTATAAAATCCAGCTTCTGTCGAAGAAATATTCTTTAACAAAAACTGAAACAAGTATTTTTTCTTTATTATAAACTCAGAGTAATGAAATAAAGAATATTAAAATGTGTGATGTAAGGAACTTAAAAAGAAAAGTATTTCATGTACAGCTACTTACCTGCAATGGTTACTTTTTGCCAAGGTAGAAAAAATATGATTCTACCATCACTGGTGGCAGGATCAAGCAGTCCCATGGAAGTAGGGCTGTAAATTAACTTGATAATTAATCATGATTATCAAGAATTACTTAAAAGGCAGAGGGATACAGTAAAGGCACCAAGAATTATATGAAAGTCTAAAATTTGTTTTGAACTATAACCAAAGTTTGAAGAAAAACAAGACATTAACCAAAGCGAAAAGAAAGTTTTGAGATCTAAATCAGAACTTCAACCAAAGTCTAAGGAAAATATTTATGGACAAAATTCAAAGTTTACTCCAAATCTACAACAAATATTTAAGGTCTACATTCATGCTTTGACCACAGTCTAACAGTTGAAATCTCAATCCAGAACTCTGAATGGGACAAAAATTGAAAATCTTTAAAGCAAGTCTACATCAAAATTTCAAAATCTAAATCCCAACTTTATTCCTAGTCTGGGACAAAGATATAAAATTATAAATCAAATCTTCATTTCTAGTCTGACACAGCTTTAACATCCAAATCCAAACATGAATTCTAGTCTGAGACAAAGATATAAAATTATAAATCAAAACTTCATTTCTAGTCTGAGACATAGCTTTAACATCCAAATCCAAACATGAATTCTAGTCTGAGACAAAGATATAAAATTATAAATCAAAACTTCATTTCTAGTCTGAGACATAGCTTTAACATCTAAATCCAAACGTGAATTCTAGTCTGAGACAAAGATATAAAAATCTAAATCTAAACTTTAAAGCTAGCCAGTCTGAAGCAGAATTTCAACTTGAAAGTATTACACTGATGTAGTCTAACCTGTAGTAATCAGGCAGCACAACATGTACACCCTGACTCGGCTGGCAGATCTTTTTCTCCGCAGGGTTAGCCATTGTACGGATACGATCTGTGTATGGTCCAGTAGCGTTTATCACACACTTAGCCTTAACATTCCATTCCTCTCCTGAAAGCAAGGTTCAAAGGGAGGTAACTTTAACCTGTATTCTCCAGGAAACAATGATCAAGGGGAGGTAAGCATTCACACAGACAATTTCACAAATTGCATTCTGCTATGAATTTTTAAAAGGTAGGCAGAATATGTTGACAAATTGATAAAATTAGTAATGCTTATCCTTCCATGAACTTTATAGTTTCTAATGTAAGCAACACTATCATGTTTGGAAAATAAATACAGATCTCCTATCTACTACATGCTTGCTATGATGTAAAGATAACTGTCTACAACACATGATAGTTGTCATATCACTTCAACACTCTTTTCACTTTCAATATTGCAATGGTGCTGATAAAGCTTTCACTAAAACACATGTACAAGTATTTTTTGAAAAAAAGTGTTCTAAACATCCATAAAAAAAAACAACTGATCAAAATGTAAAAAATTGACAATATGTAAAATTTGAGCAAAAGTTTGAGTACATGTGTTGGTCCACATGGGTTACTGGAAGGCAAACACTGTATAAACCAATATGTTGATTTACCTGTCATTCTGTCTCGAACTCTAGCCCCACAGACCACTTCCTGCCCTTCATTGTTTGGAGTTTTCAGGATTTCTAAGACCTCCACATAATTTGTTACACTGCCACCCAGTCTAACAGCTGTGATTGCAAGACTCACATTCATCCGTGCGTCATCATGCTGACCTAGAAAACATTGTAATATATATAGTATTTATCAAGACTGAACATCTTGATGCAATAGCTCAATTTTTCATAAAAGTTTCCAATGTTTATTTTCATAATGAAAGAAATTTTTGTGGTGCTAGAATCTGTAGATCAGCTCAACATCTGAAAAAAGCAGTTATAGAACATGTAAGTCATTCTCAGTGAGTTAACCTCATGATGACAAAATCTAAATAAAAAACACTATCAGATGTTCCTAAGATACTCCAGTTTGATCCCCATTCTAACAATTACCCACAGCCAGTGAAATGATCAACGCTGCATCGTGAAAGGTCTGTCGGCAATAAAAAATTGTGTGGAAAATGAAGCCACCAATGACAAGGAAGACAAGAGGTTTTCACGTCACTCTTTCTTCTGGTAGCAAGTTACAACTGTGATACAATAAACATCATAAAAAAGGAAGACAAAATGCCCCAGATCATCTAACTTCATCCTGTCTGTTAAAAAATATCACCAATACATTGAATATACTCTGGATAGATTAACTTCTTTTGTGAAATATTAAATTTTTATCTCTGTACAGAGACATACAGTCTGATATATAAAGTTGATGTACATTAAGACAATTAACAATAATTAGGAATAAACAAACTTTGTCACCATGTCTAATGTTTTTATGACATAATCCTGTAATGTGAAATCTCCTGTTACTGTACATGGCTTTTTTTATACTGATCTTGGATGGGGAATTTTTTACTTATTTTGGGAAGAAATTTGTTGAATTGGAAAGGAAATTTTCTGATGTAAAAAGTAAATTCTAAAAAATTCCTTTAACTAAGCAAAACCTTCAAGTGGGAATGGGGCCAATTATCAGCCACAAAAAGCTCTAAAAAAAATCCTTCTGTTTCTAAAATCTGTTTCCAAAACATGGAGGTACAAAAATATCAAAAATAAATGTGAGTGCAAATACTGATTTTTGAGAAATTTATTACATGGCAATTCATACATTTTATTTCAAGAAAATAAAAAGTACAGATTAGCAAGGTTTGTCTGTTATCTATTAAAGCAAAAAAAGTGTTTTTCCTGATAGAACCTACCATCATAGTACACCAACGCTCCCCGCAGCTTGTCTTTCTTTAACATGGGAAAAATCTCCAGTGCCTTCTTCCGTCCAAGGTAATAACTTGATTTCAAATTCTGTTTCCCAGCCACGAAATCATAAGCCTTTATACCGAGCCAGAAGTAAGGAATTTGCCAGTATCTTAAAGAGAAAATCATTGGTTAGCATTGACTACAGATACAGGTCTATAGCTAATATATTGATATGAAAATAAAGTGAACAAGGACTCACATATACATCCCCTACTCCCTTATGCTTATTTCTCCTTTTGGTCTAAAATGTATGGTCTATGGTGACCTTTAACCTTGACCAATGACCATCAAAATCTAATCAGGTGTAGACAATGATGGAGTGATGCTATGGTCAGAATATGAACAACATCTGTTTTGGAGTATGTTGTACACAATGTAATTACAGATGTAGGCACAGACAATATACAAACTGATCAAACTTGACCATTTTTATGTACATAATATTCCAGCACAGTATCACGGATTTTTGGGAATCAGTAATTTGATTCTTGGACTCATGCTTCTCCAGTTGGGACTTGATTTTGAGAACGTACAATATCCTCTAGTATTGGGACTCATTAAAATTTTTGTTGTGAGTTTACCCGAAAAAAAAATTCTACAAAAATTTCTGTGTATAATATTAAATTCTGCTAAGTGTAAATTAAAAACCATTTTGCACGAAGATCATAATATTTAATTTTAGCTTTTTTTTTTTTGTTATTGAAAAGCAGAATCTGAAAATAAATACTATAACACTATGTCAATCAAAACCTTTCATTTCAATATTCATGTTACAATCTTAATGGCAAAATATAGTAGATAAAAATAATGTTACTACAAGACTTAAGTTCTGACCATTTTATTTAATTAAATATATAATTTAAGAGACTTTCTATGACCTACATCTTAATTGAAATAATTCTAGAGACTGTAGAACACCCAGATTTTCAAAACTTATATCGGTCTGTCATAACTTATCAGCAAATCAACATTCTTTGATGCTACCAGCTGCCAAGTTTTCTCTTCGTAGCCACTATTGTAGAAGATTTAATACAAATTGCAAGTCTTCCATTTAAAATTAATAATTATATCATGATTTGTTTTTCATAAACTTACTTGTATATGGGAAGCATGATAGGAAAGGGGTATGCCAGATGAGGAGCAATATCGATTAAGTTAGCTCTCTCTGTCAATGCTTCCTTCACCATTCGATACTGAAATGTACCAAATACAAAATATATTGGGGCACCTGCATGTAGTAATACAGAAGTTCTTCATTTTATTGTAAACATTTGGTGATTTTATACTGACAGGGATCAAGAGTATCTGTATTCACTTTTCAAGTACAATTTGAGACCTTTTCAGTAGTATCTAAAATATACCTCCTAGTTACACCAGTACTCATGTTACTGTGTACAAGTCTTATTTTTGCCTCATATGAATTTTTTATGGGGAATAATTTGCTAATCAGTAGCCAATTATCAAGAAAAATGTTCATTTAATTTGTTATAATACTGAACAACTCTATATATACAGGTGTGCTTATTTCAAGGAATAGGTTTGTAAGTGGATAACTAATTACCTGTTCTATATCCAGATTGAAGACAGCCTTCTCCAGGTATCGGACACCACCATGGATAAGTTTAGTAGACCTACTGCTGGTCCCAGACGCAAAGTCATACTTCTCTACCATAGCAGTTTTCAAACCTTAAATACGTATATAAATAATTGCATACTAATGACCAGTGACTATTGCAAACAGATTTCAGCCTCGAGTCAGAAATTGGATTTTTATAATACTCATGTAAAATTTATAAGGTCTGATCCAAATACATTAATAAATATGAAAGATGAAATCAAATTTCTGATGAATGTAGTTGTCTAGAATGAAAGGATGCCATATCATGAACATTTACATTTTTTAATCAACATTAATCAAGCGATGTAGATTCAACATCATGCTTGATTCAGCATTTTTCATCACCAGCTTCCATACCTCTACTGACGGCATCGACTGCGACCCCCGTTCCTGTAGCTCCTCCCCCTATGACTAGCATATCAAACTCATCTTTCTTCAGGGATTCTAACAGCTGGGCCCGGGACGGCAGGGGTGCCCATGCATATTTCTGATGCACACCATCGACTGCTAAGCTACCTTCATCTGAATGCACTGCATGCTGTATAACAGACAGACATAATCACATAATATCAATTCAATTTTTTAGACTTCAGTAGAGCTAAAAATTCAGGCTGCTTATGATATTATAAAAATTATATCTAGATATTTGTTCCGTTATGAAAACCATCAACACAATATGTACACCACAAATCTCATTTTTCTACAAATGTGAAGATCTTCTTAAACTGGAGTTTGTTTGGATCTACCCCTTATGTAACTTTCCCTATAAATCATCCTGTAAACCTTTGGGTATCGAGACAGTGTCCATCACTAAAGACATGATGATGCTGGCTATATATCCACTCACTCAGGAACATATGTAAATAGTTACCAGCATTTCATCTGCATTCTTATTAGAAATTAAAATTAAGTGGTTCTTTATATCCCCCCCACTCCTCCCATCTTCCAAAAAAAATCTGGATACCAGCTATGTTACATACCTTTTTCATATAAGAGTATAGGAAGTAAGTAACTCCACCTGCCACCACCACACCCGTTTTTGGAACTTTTCTCACAAGCAAGCGGAATTTCTCCATTTTGTTAGAAGATCATACAGTTTGTTCATGTACCATCACCTAAAAGATTTAAATAAATATTAAAAATCGAAGAGATCTACATATTGTACAATATATTGTTATGCAATGAATTCACTCATGTGATAGTTGTGTGTATGTCACTGGTGTTATATACACTGGAGTAGTCTTCATTGGCTAGTAAAAAATTGATTGCAACATTGTAATATTGACAACAATGTTACAGTAGGAGTTGAAATGGTACAACGAAATGGCTGCCTCCATTTTAATTTGTCTTCCATATCTAAATTCTGTGAAACTGGAACTTATTTGACTTAAAGTCTGGGATTAAAGTGTCTTAAGTTTTTGTTCATTTCATGTGAGATAAAGCTAATTTAGACCAAAATTAAAATCTTTTTACATCCCATGGTTTTCAAGCACTCTTATATACAAAAATACATTGTGAGGGTGACAATAGTATTCTCTACAGTTTCAAAATACTAAGGGGAACACTGTTTTTGTCTTGTTAAATTTTACCAGATTTTTAACACAATGTACTTTGATTTCTTGGTCTATATAATTTTTTTTCTAAAAAAAAAAACGGTGTTGCACTAGCTGTGTCCTCCAACTGAGTTTTCCATTTCTAAATGTAACTTGCCTATTTGTTGAAATTTTCAGGTGAAATAGTCTGTGAATCAATTATTTGAAAACGAATTGAGAAAATATCATAATTTGATATATACTTTTGGTAGCTCAATACCTTTTAAACTTTTTTTTTAGTTTTATTTCTATTTTCAACTTTATCCATCTTTTTTTATTTGAAATCTATACATTTTCTTTTTTATTTAGAATTTTATATGTACAGCTAATACAGATTTGATATGAACTTGTAAAACTATTTGTGTGTAGCTTGGCTTTTTATTCTGTCGCTGTGAGATTGGGATCGGAGATAATGGTGCTGAAGGATAGACAACAGCAACAAAAGATATCGTACAAGAAAGCAAATATACTTGTATGTCGCAAGTTCAAAAATTAATTATAATGATATGCAAAGGTATAACAGTTTTAAAATATCAACATATATATAGCAACTAAAAAACCACTGAAGTGTGACTTGTGCTTAAGTCAGCATTCGAGTCACTGACATGTACATACCTGTCAACAACCTAGTGATTGGAAATTGGTTAAAATTCATAATCGATTATTGACTAAAATCAGATAGGCTTTCCAATGTAGTTAATTAAATTTCATAATGAGCTCTGAGTTCAATATTAATAGCAAGTGAGTGTTTTCTTTATCAAAGAAATATTTTCCATTTTTTTTTTGTAATTTTAAACTTGCTTTGCATAACATCAATTGCAATCAATTATCACATCAAATGATGTTGAACGAATTGAAAATTTATTTTATTCAATCATTGACTTCTTCCCATCACTATGACCTAAGTTGGTGAGAATAGGTCAGTAACAAGTACCAGGGGTGTATAATACAGAGGGATAAGAAACTAGGCCCAGTGGTGACTTATCCGGTGTTAGATTTGCGTCTGTTTACTGAGTCAAGAAGCTGTGAAGTCCCCTCTTTTTACTGCTGTTTACTAATCTCATCTGCCTGTGCCTCCATGTCAGCGTGGATTTGGTACCGACCCATCTGACCAGAGCAATTTTGTTACCCATAGAGAAGTTAATCTCATTTTTATAACAATAAAAATTGTACTTCAAAAGTTACAAAAATCGATAGGAAAATCAATGCCATCACAGATGGTTTTCTCTATGCTTATTGTTATACAAATATCAAAAATAAACAGAAATCATTTGTCACAAAAGTTAGCACAATCAATTTGAAAATCATTAAGTTTCCTAACTGCTTCCTAACTGTACTTTTGTAGACAATTGGTATGACAATTGGTAAAGCAAGGCTGGTTAAATACAACTGTACAGTTTCTTATCTCTTTCTATAATACGTCACCACCAGTACTGTTCTATATGATGATTAGGAGATAAAAATAAGTAAAACTTGGGCCTTCCTGAAGCTTTGATAAGTAAATTCACTCGGTCAAGATGTGCAGGACAAATGGTTATTTTGCTTGTATCTTCTATATTTTGTCACAAACTTACAAACTCATAAAATGTATGTCAAGTAAGCAGATGTGCCTTGCAGTTACAAGTCATTTAGGTCATTTGTGTCTGATGTTCTGATGTATACATGGATCAGGGACATGTAATATAGAAGGCAGTGTATATATCTTTGTAAAGCTAATTTAAAGCAAATGAATATCGGAGTTGACTAGGTTTGCTATAGGAAGGGGGCAGCTCTAAAGAACATAACTAATCGTTTAAAAAAAAACAGTAGTAGGAAGCTGGAAAATTTCAAATTGAACATGCGACAACTTCTGTTTCTGTGACAAATCATTCTTATCAGCTTTTGGCATTTTTGAAAAACAACATGCATTTACATCTACTGCAAAGTACCACTCTCAGTTGAAACAAGACTGGCTAGTCATGACCGTTACTAATTACAGCCGAGAGGTAGGGTCCTAAATGGGGCACATGCATTCCCTACCTACCTTCATATATTCCAGTAGATATTGAAACTATTATCAATAAATTCCCTACCTACCTTCATATATCCAACTAGATATTGAACTAATATCAATATATTCCATACCTACTTTCATATATTCCAGTAGATATTGAACTATTATCAATAAATTCCCTACCTACCTTCATACCTACCTATTGAACATATATTTCCCTACCTATATAATAAATTCCCTACCTACCTAAAGTATTCCAGTAGATATTGAACTATTATCAATAAATTCCCTACCTACCTTCATATATTCCAGTCATGATAATAAATTCCCTATCTACCGTCTATGTATTCCAGATATTAAACTATTATCAATAAATTCCCTACCTACCTTCATATATTCCAGTAGATATTGAACTATTATCAATAAATTCCCTACCTACCTTCATATATTCCAGTAGATATTGAACTATTATCAATAAATTCCCTACCTACCCTCATATATTCCAGTAGATATTGAACTAATATCAATAAATTCCCTACCTTCCTTCATGTATTCCTCAAGATATTGAAATATCATCTATAAATTCCCTACCTACCTTCATGTATCTCAGTAAATATTGAACTATAATCAATAAATTCCCTACCTACCGTCATGTATTCTAAAAGATATTGAAATATTATCAATAAATTCCCTACCTACCTACTGATATTCCTTTAGATATTGAACTATTATCAATAAATTCTCTACCTACCTTCATATATTCCAGTAGATATTGAACTAATATCAATAAATTCCCTACCTACCTTCATATATTCCAGTATCATTTACCTGCCTTTATATTTGAACTATTATCAATAAATTCCCTACCTACCTTCATATATTCCAGTAGATATTAAACTATTATCAATAAATTCCCTACCTACCTTCATGTATTCCAGTAGATATTAAACTATTATCAATAAATTCCCTACCTACCTTCAAATATCCAAGTAGATATCAAAATATTATCAATCAATTCCCTACCTACCTTCATATATTCCAATAGATATTGAACTATTATCAATAAATTCCCTACCTACCTTCATATATTCCAGTAGATATTGAACTATCATTAATAAATTCCCTACCTACCTTCATATATTCCAGTAGATATTGAAATATCATCAATAAATTCCCTACCTACCTAAAAGTATTGCAGTACTTGTTAAACGATTATCAATAAATTACCTACCTACCTACTGATATTCAAGTACATATTGAACTATTTTCAATAAATTCCCTACCTACCTACAGATATTCCTTTAGATATTGAACTATTGTCAATAAATTCCCTACCTATCTTCATGTATCCCAGTAGATATTGAACTATTATCAATAAATTCCCTACCTAACTTCATATATTCCAGTTGATATTGAATTATTATCAATAAATTACCTACCTACCTTCATATATTCCAGTAGATATTGAACTATTATCAATAAATTCCCTACCTACCTTCATATATTGAACTATATTCAAACTATTGAACTATTATCAATAAATTCCCTACCTACCTTCATATATTTCAGTAGATATTGAACTATTATCAATAAATTCCCTACCTACCGTCATGTATTCTAGTAGATATTCAAATATTATCAATAAATTCCCTACCTACCTTCATATATTCCAGTAGATATTGAACTAATATCAATAAATTCCCTACCTACCGACATATATTCAAGTAGATATTGAAATATCATCAATAAATTCCCTACCTACCTATCATATATTCCAAATTAGATATATGAACTATTATCAATAAATTCCCTACCTACCTTCATATATTCCAGTAGATATTGAACTATTATCAATAAATTCCCTACCTACCTTCATATATTCCAGTAGATATTGAACTATTATCAATAAATTCCCTACCTACCTTCATATATTCCAATAGATATTGAACTATTATCAATAAATTCCCTACCTACCTTCATGTATTCCAGTAGATATTAAACTATTATCAATAAATTCCCTACCTACCTACTGATATTTTTTTACATATTGAACTATTATCAATAAATTCCCTATCTACCTTCATGTATTGCAGTAGATATTGAACGATCATCAATAAATTTCCTACCTACCTTCGTGTATTCTTGTAGATGTTAAACTATTATCAATAAATTACCTACCTACCTACTGATATTCAAGTACATATTGAACTATTTTCAATAAATTCCCTACCTACCTTCATATATTCCAGTAGATATTGAACTATTATCAATAAATTTCCTACCTTCCTTCATGTATTCTTCCAGATATTGAAATATCATCAATAAATTCCCTACCTACCTACAGATATTTCTTTACATATTGAACTATTATCAATAAATTCCCTACCTACCTTCATATATTCCAGTAGATATTGAACTATTATCAATAAATTCCCTACCTGCCGTCATGTATTCTAGTAGATATTGAACTATCATCAATAAATTCCCTACCTACCTACTGATAATCAAGTACATATTGAAGTACTT